TTTATTAAATATAAATTTGCAAAATATTATTATTTTTATTTGTTAAAATTTATATAACCTATTTTCTTTGCTTATATTTTATCAATTTTACTCTATAAATATGCTTAAGGAAGTCCATTTATAGCTATTAATATTTACTTATAGTTTTTTAGTTAAGATATGTATTCTTCTTATATTTATAAATCTAATTCATATACTTTTGGAGTATCTTCTATTAAATCTTTATCTTCTTCGTCTTCTATATTTAATTATTATATTTTGTTTTCTATATCCATTTTATTTTATTTAGTTTTATTTTATTTTTTTAAGAAAAAAGATTTTTAATTATTTTAGAACAGAAAATAAACACTTTACAAATTAAATAATATAAAGATTTAAATTTTAGAAATAAATAAATATAGCTTTAATTATTTATAAATATTAAATTTTAATATTTTTTTTAAACTATTTTAAAGAATATATTTTTTATTTTAAAAAAAATAAATAATAATAATAGTTTCATTTTTTTTTTTATTAAACTTTCTAGTTTTCAATAACTGATTTATATATTAAAAATCAAATTAGCATATATTATTATTATTATTTTTTTAAAAAAAATTATTATTATTTTAATTTTGTACAAACTTAATAATAATAAAAAAAAATGGATTATTTTTCAAAATATTTCACATTTATTCACTAATTTATAATCAAAACTAAAACATTTGAAATCGGAAGTAAATTTAAAAAAAAATATAACAAAAAATATATATAAACAAAAAAGCTTTATCAGAAATAATAAAATCAATAATATACAGTAAAGAAGGTTAATGGAAATAATCATTAATAACATAATTACCTTAATTTATGGACCAAATTCATTAATAAATATCTTAACTCCCCTAAAACGATCCAAACATAAATAAAATAATATCATTAACACTAATGATATTAGATTAATTAATATTCAATATATGGGCGAAGCACAAAAAAGAATAAAGACATTAATTAACTAATTAAATGATAGACTAATCACAATACAGTATAACATCAGCCCTAAGCAAATTATAATAAACTGATAATTCAATAATGAATAATTCCATAAATATATTAAACATAGAAAACTTTATCCAATTTTTTACTGAATTTTGCCATAAATAAGATACTTTTTAAAAATTAGAAAAATTACGTTCTAATGCTCCTTAGGATTCTAAGATTTTTCTCAAAAATCTCCTTTAAACTTTAGTTTACATTTCTTCGAAAGAATAGATAAAATTTTTATCTACAAACATAAAAAATTTACTAAAAATAGCAGATTTGGCATAAAATCCTGATTAAAATGTACTAACGAATTAAATTTAGGAAATAAATAACATTTTATTTGGATCTAAATTAGATAAAATATTAAAAATAATGTCCTTAAAAGAAATTACAGGTAATTAATAAGAAATACATTTTGCAATTGGAAGAATTTATTTTGCTGCAAATAGTGTTGGGAGATCTAATTATCAACGAAAAGCCTTCAAGATGATAAAATATACTGGAAAAGATATGATTTTTAACATTATTTAATATTATGTTTTATATTAATAACCTGAAAAGTTAAAAAAACATATATGTAGTAAAGAAGAAACTAAAAAAAACCCTATAGCAGCTTTTATTTTGAATTATTTATAATTACTCTATATGCCTTTATATAATATATTCTAAGAAATGTTCTAAAAGTACATCATACCTAAATATAATAAAGACCCAAATATATTTTATGAGTAAATTTTTGCACCAACAAATGCTTATATAATTCCTTTTTTTTAATAACTTCCTTGCGATTTTTGTAATTTTTTTTCTTTGATTCATTAGATTATTTAATAAAATGAAAATAAATTTAATGATTAAATATCTTCAATGTTCCCTATTAAATAACTTTTTGTTAATAGATTCTTTTTAAATCCAGATCTTAAATAAATTCAAAATTTAACTAATGAATCATTGGCTTAATATGTAGATGCTTTAAATATGTTTAGTAAACTTTTCTATAAAGAAGTTAAAGATGAAAAAAGACCTATTTAAGGCTAATTTTTTTATTAATTAAACGAAATTATTTAAAGTACTTTCGAAAAGGTATTTTTATTATTTTATCAAATAATTAAAAAAATTAAACAAATTTTTATAAGATTGTAAATTTATATCATATCGGAAATGAAATAAATGTTTTTAGTTTTTATCTATTAGATACAGTATTAAAGAATGATTATTAATATTTATATAATTTGATTATAATAGCTCCTTTTTCAGACCATGAATAAAAAGATTATTAAATAACAAAATTTTAAAATATATATAAAAAAAAACAAATATAGAATATGATTTCAGAAAGTAATGAAGATAATTAAAATATTAAAAAAATATAAACAAATAATATTATTTTAAATGAAAAATTATAAGATTAAAATTAAATAGATTAATAAATAAACCGATCTCCATTATAATAAACATAACAATTTTAGCAAAAATTACCACAACAACAATAACAACAACTATAACAAATAAAACAACAACAATAAGACTAACAAAAATAATAATAACTATAACATCTACAACAATAACAAGAACACTAATTTTAATATTAATAATAATAATAATAATAATAATAATAATAATAATAATAATAATAATATTAATAATAATAATATTAATATTAGTAGTAATAATAATAGTAATAATAATAGTAATAAGTTATTAATTAATATACTTATTCTTAATAAGGATATAAATAGTAATTTTTCTAGAGTTAAGATTTATATAATACTAATAATTAAATTTATAATAATCCATAATTTTTAAATGATTAAAATATAAAATCTTTAAATGAAAGTGTTTTGATTTAGGAACAAAAGAAATAATATGAGAATATAATTTCTTAAAAATATGATTTACTTATTCAAGAATAAAAAATGTGTATTTAATTAGATGAAGAAAGACTTAAAATTAATGATTAGATGCAACTTTTGTAAGGAAAAAATGAATTTTTAAAATAAATTATGAAAATTAAATATCCTTCTTCTAAATAATATATAGATAATTTAGATAATTTATAAAGTGTAAACATATTTATTTTATTATTTTTTTAAAAAAATAAAAAAGATTGAAAAAATAAAAGCAGAATTAGAATATTAAGAAAAACTATTATAATAAAAATAAGAAACCAATAAAAAAGAAAAAGAAAGTGATGATTTCTATTTCTATTAATCAAAAATAAATTAAAGATATAAAGAATTATAAGAATTAGAAAATGATTATTAATTACATAATAAATTAAAATTATAATTATGAAAAGTTTTGATTTAAAATATTATTTATAAAATAAATAAATTTAAAAATGTGTATTCTAATTTCTAATTAAAAATATATTATATAATATATATATATATATATATTAACCAATTAATATTAACTAACATTTTCAAAAAGAATATATAATATTATCTCTTAATGAATAAAAATTATTAATAATAGACGAATAGCATTTTCTTACGTATAATCAAATACATTGTATTTATGTAATAATATTTAAACAATTTATGCAATTTTTCTAAATTATTTTTAACTCAAAAAAATCATAATTGAAAAAAATTATATCTATAAATAAAATAAATATTATTATATAAATAATGAAAATAAACATCCTTATTTTTGCTTAGTAAAAAATATTACAATAAATAAATATTAAATATAACAACTTTAGGTATAAAGAATAAAAAGGTGCTAGTTTTGATATAATATACGTGGATATTAAAATATTATCATCCTAAATAAATATATTAAGAATTTAAAACCCAATAAACTTCCTATTAGAAAACAAAAATAATGAAAAGTCTTAATATCTTATTTTTAAATTTAATGGAATTAATTTTAGCAGTAATTGGAAATCAAAAAAACGAATGAGATAGGGGAAAAGACTGTATAATAAAACACTTGAAACTGTCAATTATACATATTTAGTCTCTAATCTCATAAAGAAATTGATTAAATTAATTAAACCCATTTGTATAATATAAGAAAATATATACTTTTTAGTATTGATTATGATTTTTAAAAATTTCTAAAATTTTAAGCTGGAAAATTTCGGAAATTGTATATAAATACAATGTTTTTGGGATAAATATTTTATATAGATAATGGCTTTTAGCTTTTTAAACAGAACAAAATACTTTTTATTGATTTAATGCAATCTCTATCAATTTGACTAATTATCTAAATAATTTTTACGTTTAAGGGAGTGTGAGGATAGATTGAAGTTGGAAAATATATAAATGACTGATTAGTATTTTTTCTCGATATTTTATAAAAAAGGGATTATTACTAAAGGTAGTATTAATTATTTTATATTTCATAGTAATAATAATGTATTTATAATGGTTTAGAAAACAAAATTTATAACTTAGATTAGATTATTTTGAATAAAAAACTTTAAAATAAGAAACCATAGTAGTTAATATAAATTAAAAGAATCGAACGAAATAAGTAATAATTTTTAGTGGTTTTGGTTACTTTTCTAATTTGGGGTTATGGTAATTTTTAAATTATTAGGTTAAATAATAAAGTAAATTAAGGTAGGAATATAGGATGTTGAAAAACAAAAATTTAAGATTGAATATTTGACATAAAAAGTGATTAGTAAATATTAAAATATAAATATTTATTATTAAAATTACATATATCATAGTTATTATAATAATTTATTATATATTATTTTAAATTTATTTAAATATATGGTTATATTTTTTTATAATAATTTAAAGTCTATACATTGATTTGAATTTATAAAAAATATTATTATATATAAATATTTTTTTTTATTTTTACATTGAAATAATATTAAATAATAATTTTTTTCTTAAAAAAATATATAAAGTACTCTTGTTTTTACAAAATTTATTTATATAATAATAAGAAGGATTATTATATAATTTATTTTAATAAAAAATTAAATTTACAAACATAACAGAATAAATTAAAAAAGTGGATATATATGAATTAATTAATAAAACAAAATTTTTATAAATTATTCTCAAGAAGATGAGAATTTAGTAACAGACTTAGTTCCTTCAGAGATAGCATGTCTAGAAAGTTCACCAGGTAATAATAATTTAACAGCAGTTTAAACTTCACGAGAAGATAAAGTTTTTCTTTTATTAAATCTGACTAATTTGGAGGTTTCAAGAGCAATTCTTTCAAAAGAATCATTAATGAAAGAATTCATGATGTTCATAGCTATTTTAGAAATACCAACATCAGGATGGACTTATTTTAATACTTTAAAAATATAAATTGCGAATGTTTCAATTCTTTTTTTATGTCTTTTATTTTAAGTTTAAAATTTCTTTTGTTAAGCAGCAATGGAGTCTTTTTTAGATGTAGTCATTTTTTTTTATTTATTTATTATTAATATCAATAAATTAATAAGTTTATTTTTTATTTTCAATTGTAATTTTTTGCTTTAAATATAGATAGTTATATATTATACATAAAAAAATTGAATATATGAAATTTTATAAGACATTTTTATTTTTTTTAAATTTTTTTTATATTTTTTAGGATTTAATTAAAAAATAAATTAAAAAAAAAGTAAATACAAACTGATAAGATAATAATGTAAAAAGTTGAGATATAATTATATAAGCAGAGTCTAAATAATGATGGTTAAAAATAAAAATAAATTATATTTTTTTAAACAATTTTAAATATTAATAATATTTATTAATTTAAAATAATTATATTTTATTTAAAAAAATATAATAATAATAATAATAATAATATATAATATAAAAATATATAAAACTAAATAAGTATTAATCAGATAAAATAAGGTGAAAAAAAATTTTTCATTTAATTAAAGAAATAAATATTAAAAAATAAATTATTATAAATATAACAAAATTATATAAAAAATTAAAATAAGTTTTCTTTAAATTATTTTAAATTTAATATAGAAAATTTTTATAATAAATAAAAATTAATATTATTTTAAGAAAAAAATTAATAAATATATAATAGATACAAAATATGGAAAAAATAACATTTACATATTTGAAAAATATAATT